ACCTTTTGGTGCTATGGCTCAGAAAACTTCATGAGCATAGCAGTTCATATGGCTGCTAGCTGCACAAGAGGTACTGCAGCTGACAAGGTGGCCAAAAAGGTCTTGGATAAGTTTAGAATAGCGTTTGACCTAATCTTGGCGGGCCACATGAGCTTGTCGGAAGAGATTGAGGATGTGTAGGAGCGAAAAGCGGCGAATGTCATGCATCCTTGGGGTCTATTGGGTTTATTGGGCTGGACAGCCTCACACATATGTGGGCTGGACTGCAGCCTCACACATATATGGGCTGGACAGCCCCAGAATGGAAGCCTTATATATATATATATACACATACATACATATATGTACATATTTTGGGCACCCAAACTCAGTCCCACGATTGATTTCACGATTGATTTCACGATTGATTTTTCGATTGATTTTTTTACACTCTTTCGATTGGTTTTTCAATTGATTTTCGAGGACGCAGCTTTCACGCCAAAACGATTGATTTTGGAGCAAAATCAATCCTCGATTGAAATTTTCAATAGCGATTGATTTTGAGCAAGATTGGATGCTTTGGGTCAGCGCGAAGTTGCGGAGGTCGCGAAGCTCTGCCTCGAAGTGCTCGACGCGTCCGCCGGAGCCACGAAGCAGCCACTGGAGCCCAGGGTCAGAACCGAGGGCTCCGCTACCATGCGTAGCGGTGCAAAGCGCAGCAAGCGCTGCTTGAAGCTCAAGGCGCCTTCGGGTAGGGTATCCTCAAGCCGGTGTTCACAGCTTGCACAGACTACATGTCAGGAACTCGCTAGCACTTTACATAGCAACTCTGGCTATCATGGCCCTTGGGTTCACAGGAGTCTAGAGGACCAATTTATCTGGGTAAAATTACCCGAACGGGAATTGTTGACTTTGGAGATTAAAAACTCTACTTATTTGCACGATGTTATTGCGGAGGCATCAAAAATCTCCGAGTCAATAACTCCAACGACTGATGTTTACATCACATGTGGCAGGAAAGTTATAGATCCTCGCGCTCCTTTATGTGCCCAAGAGGTAGTGGAAGGAAGCGTGTTAAGGATTCATTATCGCAGTGGTCAACCAGAGTGCTACAGCTTGTTCGAAGGGATGCGAGTATGGCAGTCGGTGCCAATTTTATCATGAGCAGCGAGGTAGTAGTTGCGGAGTTTGTGGGTCCGATGATCATAGTTGGGAGCAATGCATACGATATGGGGGTGGTCAATATGACCCTAAAAAGGACCCAAGAGTCCTAGCAGCTGCAGAACGGGAAGCAGCTAGAGCTAAATGGCTTAAACAGCCTCAACGGCCTCCTAGTGTGCCCGGAAGAGCCGCGGCAGTAGTGCGGCTGATCCTGCTCCAGTTGTTGTGCATCCAAAGAGCAAGCGTGCTCCCAAGAGTCGCAGCAGTAATGATGCAGATCCAGCTTCATGGGTAGCCCTTCCCAAAAAGAAGGAAAAAAAATAAGTCAAGCACTACATCAGCACAAGACGCGGTAACGTCATCGAAGTTGGGAAAGAAAGCCACGAAGACAAAGTTAAAGAGGAAGAATCCGAAGGGCTCAATTAACCGCAGTCTCAAGCCGAAAGAAAAGGAACCTACAAAACGTAAGACTCCTCAACCTCCGGCCCCTGCAAAGCGCCAGAAAAGGTCGCAGTCTGAAAAGCCGGAAAGTACAAAATAATTCTCTTTAGGCACTTCGAGGGCATATCTTTCCCCTACTCCCAAAGTTAAAGCCTCAACAAGAAAAGAAGAGGCAGAGACTCCGAAGAAAAGAAAAAGGGGTCAAAGCCAGTCAAAAGGCTGCCTCGGTAGAAGATCTACCAGTGGCGAAGAGTGAACCGGATTATGATCCGACCGAGGAAGTTCCAGGTTCAAAACCTGCAGGAATAAGTGGAGTTGTTCCCGCTCCAGTAACTCCAGGCTCTTCAGAAGAAAAAGTAGTTCTGAGGCAGAGCAGCAGGAACCTGAACTTAAGGATATGAGTGATCAGCTGGATAGTCTTAGGGCTTCAATACAAGCCCCAGTTCCTCCATCCTCTGGACGTCGGGAAGAAGCTAAGGAGGGTAGTTCAGAACCTCCTGACCCTTCAGTAAATAGGGGTCAAGCTCGGGAGAGCATTATTGCGTTCCTGACGTTAGCGTCAATGTGTCAGAAGCTGCTGATTTATCAAGATCAGCACAAATCTGACCGTCTCCCAGGGAACATGGTGATCGTTCACAGAGACCGATGCGCCGGATTTTGATGCATCGGCCGGGGCACCGCATGCGTATCTACCAAGACGGTCTTGAGGTATCTGACAATACTTACCTCAAGAACTTGGACCAGGATATAGTGTTACGGGTTTTTGAAGAACCCCTTCCGACTGCTCCTAGTTCTCCTATGGTGAGGTTTGAAGAACCCCTTCCGACTGCTCCTAGTTCTCCTATGGTGAGGGATACAGTTAACCAAAGTATTGTTGGAAATATGATGGCACAGGACCCCAATATCCCGTGCTCTAGTTCCAATGAGGGACCTTATCAGCTTCCATTCGTTGTCTCTGAGGAGGAGCATAGTGCTATTCTCCTAAATTTGAGTGGAGACCCGCTAGTCATTTCGAGCTCTCGTTCGTAATCTTCTTCGTTTAGATCCGAACGCTGCTATAGTTGGTGTTAGCAGATGTGGTCGCCATTACAAGGATGTCCGGCAAGGCGCCTTCGTCCCATATGGATCTACCCTGATCCAGTTTTCCAACCCTCGAAGGTAAAATCCCTGCCGCTTCTCAAAGTAATAAGCATCCTTCCAAGAAGGAAGCAACAGTGTCTCCCAGTTCGGGAAGAACTGATGTACATAAGTAGAAGTGTCCTTACTGGCGTTTTGTATAATGCAGAACGGGGGGAGTGCTGGTGTACAGAAACTAGTACTATTCCCTCCGCAGCCATTTCAGCTACAAGCTTGCAATCATGTACAAACACTTAAGCATTTGAACAGTACATATTGTACGGTCTTAGTGCTCATACCTTTACCTTTCTTCGCTTGGTGTTCTTCGGTAAAAGGGACTCTGTAGCTGTTGCCTTGCTGCCTGCCACCAGCAATTAGTATTGCTACTATTATTAGTATTCTTCTTGTGATTAGTATTCCTTGCGCTTTTAAATGCTCTTCGTGCTACTCGTGTTTGCATCAGCATTATTTTTAATGCTAGTAACATCATTGCGGTTCTATACCGTTAGCGTCTTAATTGCCACTACAGATAGTTACCATGATCATGATGGTGACTGTTATCAACATGATAACCAGCATTACTGGAGCCACTATTTCTTTCTCTCTTGCTGTGTGTCTGTCGCTTCCTAAGGTTTTTCTCTCTTCTTTTATGTCTGTTTCTTTATTTGGTTCAATGCTTGGCTGTTCTTTCTTGCTTTCTTCTGTCTTTCTTCCCCCTACACAACACCAACCCTTGCGTCCTTCCTTCATGGCCTTCATCTCCGGAAAGATGGCACCTCGCCCCAGCCAAAAAAAAGATGCCTCCCCCAAAAGGCTCAGAAATATGTTTCCCTCATTCCTGGTTTTTCGCTTGTACAATTTATAGACAAGGACTTTCGGACAACCCAATATCAGATTGCTTTACCTCTGTATTTCAACGTTTCAAGAGTTGTCATGTTGAGATCGTAACACAACATTTTTTTGTCTCATTGGGTTGTCCTGTTTTTGGCAAGTTGCTTTGCTTTGGCGTTGAAAAGTGACGGAAACCTTGGCCCTGATACACACCATTGACCAACACGGCCAGATAGAACGAAGCAACCCATTCGTTGTGCACCGGCATCTGTACCCAACCTTGACATTTTAGTTCCTCAGACCTTTGTGACACTTCTTCCTTTCTTTCTCTCTTGGCATCCAAAAAGAGGCGAGCTCGGTTTGAAGCTGAAAGGAAAGAATGCTCGCGACGGGAGCAGAATTTCGAGTCGACAATGTCAAGACGCCCCATGCCAACACCGTATTTGATTCAAAAAGTGCCAGGATGCATCCTTCAGTGCCTTCAGGAGCTCAGCTCGATGTTGGATGTTGATGCTTCTTCGATTTGGTTATGCGCATGGAACCAATTTTCAGGATCGTGTCCGATCGGCCCGGGAGGCGGAACATGTGCAGCTCTACGTTTGTAGAAAAGAAGGTGCTACGAAGAAAAGCCATTGTGCTCCTTAACACAACTACTCCACTTGCAAGATGCAAAACATTTCGGGAATGAGCCAGAAATGCCGAGAAATCGCTTTGAATACCAAGTAGTTAACTGTGCCCTCTGAGGCTGCTGCTCAGATTCCGCTGCCACAGTGACACCTTTTTTTTCTCCTGCGTGAGTGCAAAGCCGGGGTGCCAAGGCTTGAGTCTGGAGCGGGCACTGAATGCTGAGCAACAATGGAAGATGAACACAGTGCTCGGCCGTGAAGCCTGAAAACCAAGACCCTTGACGAAGAGAGCAGTGGTGTTATTCCACGTTGAGGCTACCAAATCACAGACACTTGGACAGCCGAGATTCTGTCAAACAAGTATTGCCATGCAACATCAGTGCTTCAAGTAGTCATGGGTTCAGAGCATGTCTGCTAGGTTTCCTACTTGGGCTCGGAATGTAATGCCAATCGTTGACCAATGTGTTTGCAGCACTGATGCCATCTGACCAAAGGATGGCAAAGTCCTGGCCTGTGGCAGTGGGATGCACCACCTGGACTTTCTGTTGCTCTCCGGTTGTGGCAGGAGAGTATGATGCCGAACAAACGTCATGGCTTTGACATTTCCCCAACCTGTAGCGCCCTTCCTCATACACTATGAAGTTTCCCTGCACGCCCAGACTTATGCCTCAAAAGCATGGCATTAAGCTACATTAAGCTGTAGGAAGCTAGCGGTGGGGTAGTGCTGGAGCTTACCTGTTCAGAGCGTGCGCAAACAACACTAGAATTTGCACTGCCGCGAGCGTTGTGCCCTGTAAGTACGAAGCCATCCACGGCCAGAGGCTCAAGCTATTTGTGAGTCATTTGGGTCGTCTACGTCTAATGCTAGAGACTATGTTTTGAGGCCCTGCACGGCCAAGTCCGTAGCTTCATAGTCTGAGTGCGCAGAGCCGGTGAAAACCCAAAACACGGGCACACGTGCCGCCCATCAGCTGTCAATAAATCTTCCTGGCCCAAACATCACGAACTCTTCGTTTCAGATCTGCCCTGTGCTCTCCGAGGCACCCTCGCCAACTCGCGGACACCGTCACCAGTACGAAGGATGGCAGGGGCGCGGATGAAGACTGCAAAGGAGCGTGAGCTTTCAGCGGGGTTACTTGAAGAGGCCTAGCTGACAAGATCAGACTCTTGTCGGGTTCTGGGCTGCAAAGATATTGTCAAACCTGAGGCAAATCATTCAAGCAGTTATGAAGTATCCGCAATTGCCTCCGCAGGCTGCCAAGGTCAAGTTTTGTGTTGCTGGACGAAGAGGCTTAGACTTAGACTTAGACGGCGGGTGTTACTCCTTGTTGAGTTGTCGCATCTCAAACAGACATCATTCAAGCCCTTTCAATTCTATATTGTTTGTGCATGCGCCAGAAAAGCTCGCGCCCCGCATGATGCCAACCAAGCCAAGGCTACCGTTTCGGACTTCGCTGTTGTTGTGCTGCGGTGCATCGCACCAGCTCCACACAACAGCGGCAACGTGCCAGTGGGCGGTGCAGCATGCACAGAGTCATCGAGATACCAGTTCTTGCCTGTACGTTGACCCACTGCTGAGCTCGTGTTTGCACGCACCGGCCCAGCTCTCAATGCTAAAAGCATTCAGACTGGCATGGGAGGTTAAGCACGAAAATCCTGTGTGAAGCGAAGGGGTCTGGGAGATTTTGCCTTGCCAAGCCCACGGTGCAAGTCCTGCCATTCAGCAGACTTCACTGGTGCTAGTGACAGACTCTGCAGACCTAGGGCCTTCTGTATCCTGCATATTTCGAGGCTGTTGTTCAATCCGCCGACCCCTTAGAGGGGGTACCTGCAAGAGAGAAACGTTGAGCCAGATCCGTAGCCAGATCTGCGATATCCCCGCCAAACGTTATTTTTTGGCTTTCGGCTCCTTCCCACCAACGCCCAAAGCGCGAAAGCCTACCCACCCAACCCCCAAATCTAGCCAAAACTCGGTTCAATCGCACCCATGTTCAACTTCCTCCACCCTCTCCCCACCCCGTGATCGCCCTACTCTCCGCCCCCATCGGCCCGAAACCCTGGAATTGCTGCGGGCGGGGCTTTCGGTCCCTAGTGCCAAGTTTCAGAAGTCTCAGATATCGAAGCTCCCTTTGTACGAGCACACGTGGGTCTCTCAACCCAGGGACTCCATGTTGTGCTATTTGAGCCCCCCTCCTTCTCCTCTTTCCGATCTCTGACTCCACCCCACACATTTCTCTTTCACAGGCCACGCTTTGTAGGAGCTAGAGTTTGGTCTGCGGTGCTCTGTCAGGCCATCGGTGCTTTACACGAAGTTGCCCAAGTGCAATCGTGCTCTGCACTTCCTGTCGACATTCCGGGCTTTTCGTATAATCTGGGCCGGCCCTTTCGGCACTGCATCGCGGCCGATGGCAGGCCGTCTGGTTTGATGTGGACGCTAAGTTGGCCGGCAGATGCCCCCAAGCAGCACCCCAAGTCAGGCACTGAACACGCGGTTCAGCATCTGGGGTCTCCAGCGCAGCTCCTTGCTGCCGCTTTGCAACAGCCTCCGCCATTTGCCGCCTGACTGCCCGCAGGCAGAGTTTGCCTTGAGAGGTCTGCAGAAAGGCGTGTGCTTTGGTGTAGGATGGTTTCTACCTGGCGGCAGGCGTGTTGAGGCGCTCTGGCAGCCGCGAATATTCTTTGTACGCACATTGCATACAAAACCTATAGCCTTGCGACGCGCTAGCCGGGACGCCAGTGCTGCCGACCCTATATCATTGGACCTGGATTTGTTTGTTAATTCTCCTGGACCACACCCCCAAAGCAAGCTCAATTTGGCATGTGCGTGCTGCAGGCACATTTTTTATTGATCCCCCCAAAAATCAGCATCATGAGCACGAACGCTTTTGAAAACTAGCCCCGAGGCCCATCTGGGCCTGGGCCAGCAAATTCTCCGGAGGCGTCATTAGCATCGTTGGGGTTGCGTGTCTCCAATTTGAAGGCTTCAGCCTGCCTGTCCTCCCTTAAATACCGTTCACTACACCGTGCGATTCCAGACATGTCCCTGGTTCTAACTACTACTTCTTATCCACCCTGAACGAGCGACATACACAAATGTCCAGTCCCAAGTTGCTGGAAACTCGCCCCAAGAATGTGCTTTGCTGCTCCTGCTGCTGCTGCTGCTGCTGCTGCTGTTGCTTGCAAAGGAATATCCAACCCTTCCTCAGCAAATTCCTGCAAATGCCGAGCAGAATCTAAGCACTGCAATGTCGGTTGGGAAGATTGTCTAAGAACCTTGAACAGCTGTTCTGGCAGAGTCTGAAGCATGTCAGAGGCATGCTCAGGCTCGTCCACGGCTTGGCCGTGCAAGCCATGAACTCAGAATGATTGGCCCCGGACGCATACGTGACTATTGGGAAGTTGTAGAGACAGCACTGAATGGGCTTTGAGGAAGTCTGTGCATGTTCCAGCCTCACTCTAGAAAAGGAGTGAACAAATTCACTCCACCGATGCGGAGAAAGCGGGCCCCAAGCTGAAGCTTGTTGGAGGGTCTGGCAACTCATCACGGAGTCAGGAACAGCAGGTGCTATATGCTAAGCCCTGTCTCTCCAAACTCTCATTTAAATCTTGGGCCAGCCAACAACATATTTGTCTTTGGTGCTGTTACTCCGTCTGCCCCCTGGAAGCGTCGGAAGTAATATGGAATAAGTATCCTTAAATTACCGGGCAGAATGGCCAAACACCCCAACTGAATAAAACAGTGGACCTGAGTCAATGTGAAATTTCAGGACCAACAACAGCAACAAAGCCCTGAACACACCTGGACACCGTATCGTCATTCAAAAGAAGTTGAAGACCTTCGATGACAACCATTGTCTTGATGAGTTCAACAGGGTTGAACCTCCCTAATCCACCCAATTAACAGCATCGTGCCCGGGTAAAATTGCAGATTCACTTGACCTTTAGGAGATGCAGTTAACGGAAGTCTTTTCAACTTTTGCGGATGACTCTCCTGCATGAAGTGACAGCCATCATACTGCGCATGGCACGGAATTCGTTGAAATCGACTCTTCAGATACAGTCTCTGTAGGCCCTGCTGCACTTTGTTGATGCAACCCCCCTGCAGACATCACAGTTCCGTCCATGCTTGTCTCTAAGAACTCCTGAGACCATCAGCCCTGTTGTGGAAAACGAGGCTGTTGCAGCACATGTATGAAGTCTGCAGGGACAGATCTGCAACTTGAAAAACGGAAGCTTAAGGTGCTTCCCTGTTGGGCACTCGGGATTCAGAGATTGGGACATTGGCCTGGAGATTCGATTCGCTGCCTGTCAATCAGCTGACCAACTGCACTGCAACCCTAAGAGCCATCTCTGTACAACAAATCTCCTTGAAATTCTTTGCAAACGAGAAGCGATCAAAGCTTGCGCCAGCAATCCCCAGCAAACCTGAACTCTCTATGGCTCTATGGAAAATGTATGTATGGTCTGCATCTTGGCATGTAGTAGTGAAGATTTGGAACGTATGTGAGGAATCTGCCAAGCAAATTGGGCAACATTTGCAAGCAGAATTCGGAAAATGGTAGTCACGAAGGCCTAACTTCTCAAATCTCTTTCACGCCCTCAACGCATGGAGAGTACAACTCTGCAACCACTGCATGCTTGAGATCGGCCTGGGCCTGGGCCCTAGGAATCCACCTGAAGCACGCCCTCCGTCTTGTCTCCAGAACCCTTGATCCACCTGAAGAGCGTGCAGCATCTGTCCATCCCGTGATCCGCGCACACGACTCATTGGCGGACATCAAGGATCGAGAGGGCGCACGAGAAAAGAAGTACGAACACCGACTGACATACGCCATTCTACGGCAAAAATAAACCATGTCGACTAATTTCGTGCACATGTCTGAAATTGGTAGAGTCGCGCCCAAAGAATGCATACCTAGCCATCCCTTAAAGGACGTCAGTTTTAGCCCAAACAATCAATGCATACCTGGCCAAATCCACAGACCTTTGACCCTCCAGCCCAACCCCGCCCGCTTTCAAAGGCTTTGGATTTGACCCTCCAGCGCAACTCCCCAATGCCTACAGAACCTTCAGAGAACGCCAAATTTGGCCCCGCCCCTGCATTCCTAGCCAATTCCAAAGACCTTTGAAACTCCAGCACTCTCAAACAACGTCAAACTTGGCCCTACCCCTGCATTCCTCGCCAAATCTCCATGCGAAAAGGCTTTGGATTTTACTCCAGCCACTGAGCCCTGCAGCTGCCCACACAATTCAAAAGGAGCGCCTGCATGCATATCCAAAAGAGACTGCCATATGTAGAATTGTATAATTAGTCGGGGGTATTTCTTTGTTGTTGATTTTGTAGTTTTGTTGTGGTTTGGACTCCCCCTTACAAGAATCCCCTTGTCTGTTTTACCTACCCGCTTGCGGAAGACAAGGCACTGACAAGGCCTGTGTGATGATACCCCATGCGAGCTGTGGCTTTAATTCCCACATGGATTCATAAACACATCAACCACCTTCCGCGACGGCCTTCCGCGGAGCTTCGCGAATCTTGGCTGTAGTCTTTTTTCCTTCCACCTTCCGCGGCTTCCTTCCACGAAGCTTTTTCGGTAGATTTTCGGGACCTCGCTTCCGCGAGTGGGCCTCGAAGTCTACCGCTCTTGCGTACGCTATTTTCGGTTGACTTCGCTTGGTTGGCTAAAACAAAATTGAAACATCACATCGGACTACGGTAGGATTATACAGCGAGATACAGCGAGTAAGAAGGGATAGGAACATAGTTTCCACAAGCTGTTGGGACCGTATATGCACTGACATACAGAGTGTGGAAAATGATTGCTTTGGGCTCTCCCCCTTGTTTTTGCACGCTTGCGGTCTGTCTGGCATTCTGCAAAAAAACCATGATTACGAAGAGGAGGTGGAGCAGGAGCTAGTGGGAGGAGTCAGAGGATTCTTCCAAGTCGTCTTTCAAGGCCGCCAGTTGCTGTTTTTTCCTTCGCGGAACTTTTGTGGCTTTGCTTTGTTTTGGCGTATGAGGCTATTTGTGTCAGAAGTCCGCAAAGAAAGGATTGCGGCACGAAAGGCCATGGGTCGGTCCTTCCGCGAACTTCCCGCGCCAGGA